TTGAAACTGAAGTACAATGTAGTGCTAAAGATATTTTACTTTATATAATTCCTAAATTAATGTATAAGAATATTTTAAAATCATCTGATTCTACAAGTCATCTTAGAATATCAGGAGATGGAAGAAACATTGGTCATAAGGTAAAACAAGTAATGGTAACTATTATGATTTTAAATGATAAGTTACATCACCATCATCCTGACTACTATTATACTGTAATTTTGTATCCGAGTACTGAAAAATATGAAACTTTACATTTTATATTAGAACCATTTCTTGAAGAGCTATGAATTTTTAAAGATGAAGGATTAATGTGTGCTAATATTCTTTAGAAGTTTGAACTTTATTTCAGTTCTAACTAGAAATTTCTAGGAATATGTTTAGAAATTAATAGCGCCAATTTAAAATATTTTTGTCCTTAGTGTGAATGTTCCAAAAATCAATATACAGAACTTCATAATTGGAAAATAACCAAATTAATGACAAAGTTACAAGCAAATTTCAACAGCTATCCAGGTCATATTTGGCCACCTCTTTTTGACATAATATCTCTTAATCATTTTGTATTTGATACACTTCATCTTTTTTTGCAAATTACTGATAGACTTTGGATTTTGGCATTAGCAGAAATCAAAAAAAAGGACCTTTTTAATGATACAACTTGACAAGTAATTATAAATGAAATGAAACGATTAAAAATTGTATTTAACTTTTGGGAAGAAGAAGAATCATGTATTTGGAAACATACTTCACTATCAGGTAATGATAAGAAGAAGGTTTTAAATGAATTAAATTTAAATTTACTTTTTCGATCCTCTTGGGCTCGCATATTATGTTAACTTTGGGATGAATTTTATAATCTATACAAGGCAATGCTTAATCCTTTAACAGATCCTCAACAATTTAAACAACAAGCATATAATTGGCTTATGCTATTTTTAAAACCTTCTTAAGGTGATCCATTAAATAATAAAACCTTTATTCAAGATTTATATATGCCAAGCCAAGTAACCCCTTATATTTATGCTTTGGTATATCACAGATGGGAACTGCTTAAAAAACACTAAAATGGAGACTAGAAAGTTTTTTGTGTAATGCAGTAGAGAAAAAAAATCACATTCAAGTATCAGTATTTTTTCAAAAAACTCTTAAAAATAGTAGTCATTTATCAAAAAGAAAATTAACAATTCAGAAAATTATTGAATATGAAAACAGAATGCTTTTTTATACTTATAGTGACTTATCAGAAATACGAAAAGTCAAAAAAAACTTCGTATAAAATAGATTTATACTTTTTTGATAAACTTAAGTAGAGTTATATTTATTTGGATAAATAAGGGTGGGTGTTTATAATCTTGTTTCTTAATTATATGTATATAGTATTCATGATCAATTAGATTAAATTCTATAGTTGAATGCTTTTTATTGGTTCAAAGTATATAACATATTGTATGTGCAGTTTGGTGCTATTTGAGTCTTTTATGTTTAGATAAGATATGATAACTTAACTTATATATTTACTGTAATATTACATAGCTTATCAACAGAAAATTCAAAGTAATATGTGTTCAATGAATTTCACAAGACAGAAGAATGTAATGTACTTGTTTTTTTTTAGATCTAGTTGTATATATGTTTTAACAATAACTTTAATCACTAAACTATTATAACTTCTCTTTACAGAGTGTCTATAGACAAAAGTATAAGGTGATCAGACATTACTGGACTTGGTGTGATATTTTACTAGGATTAAAATATGATCACACAAATTGTATAGTTCTCACGATTTCAATCACAGGTTTATCGGCACTTTCTTGTTTTCAAATATTGAGTCTTATGAGTCACTTTATTGAAAGGTAAATTTTTTTTTTATATATATTTATAGGACGAAATTATAAATTTGAGATTGCTAAAGCTATGTACTCATGCAATCAAGCATCTTATCAAATGGGTCAAAAAGCTCAGAAGTTTGCTTTTCTCTCAACAATCCTTATATAAAGAGCAAACCTGAGGATTGTAACAATGATAGTGACTATGAAAATCATAGTAGAAGCGATTCTCGAGGCAATAATAACTATGGTGGTTCAAAAGGTAGTTGTCAAGATTTTACTATTCAACTAAATCGGCAGCTTATTATCGCACTTATATATTATATTTTTAGACAGCTACAGGAACAGAGTAATTCATCTTTTGTACCTTATGATAGTATACTTAAGGGATTTCGATCATATAGATTTCATCCACGTTACAAACAAGAAATCAGAAAACATGTCTATAAATTAACTATATATAGTCATGACTATAATGTTGATTGTAAAATGTGTGTATTTGAGTCACAAAGCCATAGTCATTGTAATGATGATGAGTGCATATCACAACATTGGTGAGACCTTCAGATAAGCAGTAAATTAATATCAATGATAACAATTCTTTACACTAAAAGCTAATTGAATTTTCTTAATTTACCATCAATTATTTAGACGAAGAATTGATTTCTGGCATGTCTTCATACTATGAAAGATGTACTCACATTGAACAATGGGAATACCATTCCAGTTTAAAAGCATTACTTAACAAACTTCATGTGGAAGGGAAAACTAATGTTAATAAAATTATTGATGCTATTGTTATTTATTGGTAGGAGTTTGTTTCTAAGCACCTTGTATAGTATTCTTTAATAATAAGAAACAGTTAGGTCAAGGAATTGATAATGAAGAAATGTCATCAGCTTATGACATTGGTTATGTATATTTCTGAAAACGAATGAGTTATATATTAATCAGATAAAGATTTAGAGAATAATAACAATAATATACAGACAGGTTTAGAAGAGATTCTTGAACCTTTATAAGAAATGCAACAAGACACTGTAGAAGATTTGAGACATATAGATGTAGATTATTTTCAGGATCAATATCATATTTCACAAGATTCATTTCTGATAAGCACAAAAGTAGTGATAGTGATAAATCTCAGGATGGAGGCACGAAAGTAGTAATAGTAATGAATCTCAAGATGGAGGCACAATACAGGATGAGCAAATGTATGTTCAACAAGGTGAAGAGATGCCAGAATCACAAGGTACTCAAACCAATAATAAGTTTTTCACTCTATATTTTCTTTTACCATTAGCTTTAGCAAAAAATTGTAATCTTTCTGCATTTTTTTTTTTTTAATAATCTTTTAGCCTATAATACTGCATCA